AGACGACTATCGTAAACAGCGTGTTCGAAAACCTCTTTGAGCGAAGTCTTCTTAATTAGAGATCATCGACAATTTGACCAAAACCCATCGGCAAGCTTCAGGGTGTAGAACGAGAAAAAATCAAATTACCCGAATTTCTCTACAAACTTGCTCATAAAGAGTATCTGACCTGCTGATTACGAAAATCACATTTGCTTAGCAGTAGAGCTTCCCATTTTAGGGTCACGGTGCAAAATTTGAGACAACACGATTTTTCATCGCTCTTCTATCTTTTTTCAAAAAGGTTCTCCGGTTGCTTTTTAACGTGTTAGTCTGCGGAAGCAGCACAATCCAATAGTGCTTATTGAGTCTTTTATGTTTGATATGCGCTGCGTTGCGACCTTGCGAATGTACGCGCGCAGAAAATTTTGAAAAAATTGGAAATGGAATTTCAAGGACATGCTGTATACTGAAAGATTCGCCTTAACGAGCTGAACACCGTACTGTTTTCGGATTTCGAAGATGTTCATTCTGAAGGAAGTTACGGCCAGTAGAACTTGGAACAGCTTAATTTTTCCAGAGTTCATCAGCTCTTCTATCTCTTTTAAAAGAGAGTCTTCGGCTGCTGTTTAGCGCAGAATAATCTACTGAAAGAGTACTATCGAAGGGTGCCCGCCGCACCTATGTGTGATGCTTGTTGCGTTACACCCACGCGAAAAGGCGTCCGCATGCAGATTCAAGATTATTGAAAAGAGGATATTGGAGACAACCTGTACCAAAAGATTCGCCTTGACGAGCTGAATACAATGCTGTTTTCGGATTTTGAAAATACTCATTCGGAAAGAAGTTATGGCCCTGCGTAATCTGCGTGATTCACATGAATTTCGCGGAATTTCCGGTTCGCGGAATTCCCGGAATTTTGCGGAAGTTCGCGGAAATCCCGGAGTGTCGCGGAACTCCCGGAAATTCTGCATGTTCTGTGAGTGGTTTTGTACTTTAAGAGATATATAGAGCGATTAAAATTCTCAGAGCGTTTTCTAAAGTACATTTTTTACTGTATGTCAAAAATGATCCATTTTTGTGATATCGTCAGTGATAAATGATAAAATGATGATATCAATGACAACGACAGATAAAAATGGCTTAAGTTCATGCGGTCGATTCCCACATTCAACTTCCATATGAGTGCAGAATTTCAGCCCAGGCTTCGGCGTGAAGCGAGTTGAAGCAAAAATGCCATTCTAGGTAAGAATTGGCAGCAATGGCATGTGCCGATGAGAAATGGATCGATTGCTGCAGCGAGGGATCTACCAATTGCACCGAGCAATAGAACTAGAAAAGCCTGTAGATCACTTATAATGAGAGAAAGAGCGATAGAAATTCGCACAGCGTTTCCTACACTATTTTTCTTACCATATGCAAAAAATGATCCAAAAATGTTATATTATCAGTGATAAATGATAAAATTCAGTGACTAGCTGCCGTCCCCGGTCCCGCCCGGGGTCCAGGCGGTCCAAAATGTCCCTGCAGAGTGTCCATTTTAACCGTTTGGGCTTACCATTCCTCATTCTTCAGTTTGAATCATCTCTTCTTTTTCTTCTTCAGATCCGATTTATTGCAGCGCTCTATGGCATCCGTAGTGGAATTGCCTTCCTTCTTGACCGCATCGCTTCGTGACACCGCATCCTCCTCACCGCACAATGTAAATGATCTCTACCGCCCCTTACTACTTAAGTTGGAAAAATGATTGATATGCTTTCATCATCCTGAATGTAAGTAAACAAATCAATAAATCGATAGAAGGGCCCAGCGAAAAGTCGCGAAAAGTACCCTATCTTTTGCGCCGCGTCTCATTTATAGGGAAACAAAATTCAGCCTCTTCGTAACACATACAAAGAAGTCTATAAGCCACAAACCTCTAACAAACAAAGGTACAGTGTTTGAGTTTTATAGCGATTTGCGCTGTGATAAATGTTCACAAAAGCCTTACCATAGAAAATAACAAGGTATCACCATATGTCTACCGTGTCACCATGAATTACGGACATACTGTATATCAAAAGATTTATCTCATCAAGCTGAAGCAAAATCTTCACGCAGATTACAAATAAAATTGTTTTAAAAGAAGTTATAGCTAAATTTCGCTTATCCTGCAAATCTCGTGAAGTCGCGAATCTCGCGAATCCCGACAATCTTGCGAATCCCGATAATCCCGCAGTTTTGGACAAATTCTACCGCTGCAAATGTATGATTTTGTGTGCGCTGTAAACAAGCAATTTGTTTATTTGAGCCTTACTTTCAAATCGCGCGCACTTTTCGCCAAACACGATAGAGCATGTCAGTTGTGTGATAACCTGTCCGAAAAACTTGTATTCGACTAAAGTTTATTCTTGGTGCTGAGCTCCGACTCGTCAAAAACGATATCTCCTTTGCTTTTTGCTCCAAAGACGAAGTCCAGCCTGCTTCCAGACGACCTATGCCGGGCCCTGGTTGTGATACCTAGGGACTTCGAGGAAATGACTTAAAAGGATTGCATATTGGACATTCAGGAATTGTAAGGATGAGGAAATGCTCGAAGTTACGTCTACTGGCCAAATATTCACAAGAATTGCGAATGAATGGTACGAAGATGTATGATATGTTAAGAACTAGTTAAGAATCCGACGAAAGTACCATAAGAAGCATGGCCATCCGCGACTCGAGTGTGGCAGAGGATACATATCGACTTCTCTGGACCTATGCAAAGAGTCTTTTACTTGGTAGTAGTAGATGCGTAAATGGCCTGAAATGACGAGGCAAGCAATATCATGGCTGAAAACAGTGAAGGCCGGCCTTTGAAGAACTTGTTTACAAGGTATAGATTACTGCAAACAGTAGTGAGAGATAATGATACAATTCCATCGGATTTCCAGAAGATCTGCGACGAAGGTGGAATCACCCATATAAGGACTGCTCCGTACTACCCTCAATCGAATGGACAGGCAGAGCGTTTTGTTGATACGCTGAAACGCGGAAACTAAAGGGGAAGGAGAGCCCGAAGAATCTTTGAATGTGATGTTACAAGCGTATAGGACGACAACCAATACCTGAACAATAAAACGCCAGCAAAATTGTTCCTAAGAACAAGCTTGCGCCACACACGATCACAGGGGCTATATGTTGCCCATGTCAGCGCACATTCGCATTTCAACATGAAGAACAATTTTTGAAAATTCACAGAAATTATTTTTTACTACGTATTAAATCCTACACAATGCACACACGAAAAAAATCATTTTTTCGACTAATTTTTTGACTTTCTTGACTTGTTCACCCTTTTTGGCGTGCTAGCGGCTCAAAAGTGCTGGCATAAAAGAGGCTGCGAAAATATGCTACAAAAATTTATGGGGGAAAAAACACAACTTGACGCAAAGAAAAAAATGACAACTTTTAGTGTTCTTAATAAAGTTGTCGTAAACTTGCTAGCCATTTGTGTATTTGCGGCACCGGTCTTACTGTTGTGTGCGTTCTGCCGTGCCCTACATATGAAGCAACTTTGAGATTCTAGAGAAGTTCTAGAATTTTTCATAATTTTACGAGAAAAGTGTAACAGATAATACATTTCAAGATCAGGGAGAGCGGTTATTCAAGGCAATGGATCAGTTGATATCTGTCCTGAGCTACTCGAGAAACACAAGAACCCGAAACGCGGTCAAGTCAAGCTTTCATGCGCACCATATCTGTCTCTGTTGAACCAGCTTCCGCGGTGCTGGCAAAGCCGCGCATGCCTACCAGCTAATCTACGTTAAGTGAACAAAAGAAGTAAGTAGGAAGCATAACTTTTGGAGTCTCCAAAATCCATGTCGTATGAAAAGCAGCACACAGAGGTGTAGCTCTTGGCTCTATCTTTTATATTCCTTCACATTCTGGTTTCCTCTAAAAAATGTAAAAAAGGATTTAACGTCTGCAACTTTTTAGACCATAGTGCTTCAAACGTTGTTTATTGCTGCCTCAATGAATTGTAATCGAATACTCATTGAGTATTTCAAGCCTGAGAGCATAGCTTGCAAAATGAGCCGTACTTGAGAATGTATTCAAGTTTCATTCTGGAAAGCGATGAAAAAAATTACTCAAACTCTGAAAATGGGAAAGAGGCCAATTAGGCTAAAATTTGCACACTTCATACTCACTTCATACCCGAATACTAGCACCTGTCGCTTTTGTTGTCTTGAAGTTGAAACTCTACCATTTTAAAAACAGCGCTCGGCATGTAGCTTGTAAAGCAAACTGGATATCGTTTTTGGGGCAAAAAGCAAAGGGTGTTTCGTTTTTGTGGCTGAAAAGAAGAAAATATGCGACGTTTTTTGTGGTCGACGTTTTATTTTTTTGAAGATGTGTTTTAGGATTATGGTTTAGGGTCAAAGGGGACTTTGTAAAACTTACGAAAAGTTAAAAGGGACTTCGTTTTTGCATTTTGTAAAAGCCACCTCATGCCAACCCCTGCTTGCAGACAACAATCTACAGTGCACATTGTGAGTTTGACATTGCGGATGTTGGGTAAAATAAGATGAGAGAAGTCATCAGCCATTTGCTTTTTATCTACGACTAATATTCATATGCTCTAGGCTTGTTTGCTACGCGGCGATTCGTAGAACTTTGCTGCAACAATGTTTATAGTTCGCTTAAGCTAAGTATGTTTTTTGATAAACATTTTGCACAAAAAGATGAAAACGAATTTGTTTCCATGTCAACGCACGCTTTTACCAGGATGAACACTCTTGTAGGAAACATTGTAGAATTGAATTCTCGCCTCTTTATCGCTCACGCATCTCATACATCATTAGGCTCTCAAGATGGGCTAACTGCTTACATTAGTAAAATTAGTAAAACAAACTGTCAGGGAATTCCGACTTTGACTAAGCTATAGCAATACGAATACATTACTGCAAAAATAACAAAACTTTTAGAACGACTTATGATACGTAAACGCCGATATATGTACATATCGTATCCATAAGCTCACATATGACTATAAAACATACTGCCTCAGCTTCTACGACTTGCTTCCGTTTTAAATTCTCATACTCGTCTCCGCCATTTCTATTATCCGTCTCTCCATCAGAAAAAATCATTAGTATGCGATCCTCTGCGGTCTCCTTCTTAACTGCAAACTTTCAAAGAATTCGTGCTCTCCTACCAGCGTTTTCACCTTGAGCATTCGTCTTGCCATTCTCATACCCGCTCCCACAAATGTCCACCCGTGAGGAAAGTCGTCACGATATTCATTACAGAAGTTCCTGCAAACGGTATAGAAGAAATGACAAACTCTACAAATTAGATCGTGCAATGAATGTCGAAGAGTATAGGATTTAGAATCAATCATAAGGACTCGTTGTGTTTTTCCTGCCCACTTCGTAATTAGTCTTAGGAATTATATGCTCATAACTTATTCCGCTTCTGGATTGTTTCGCGATGCGATCCAGATTATGATGTTGTCAATCTTAACTTTTTGAAAGTGTCTCAAAAAAACCTTTGTTTTGCAGCTTATTCGACTAGATATGTACTTTTTGTCTAGTGCTATTTCAAAAGCAGTGTTGCTGAAATAAAAAAAGCGGACTATTGTTTCGCGCAGAGAACGGTAGAGTGCGGATAGCAAATGGGATATTGTCGTTTCGTCACTGGCAATGTAACGTGTAGTAATGCTAGTATCAAAAACTTGTACGAATTTGACCATAGCAAAAAATTCCGCATTTGTAAGTTCTTTAAATCACACCCGTTGTACCCATTATCCGAAAAAAGTTATCATTACACGAAATAGTCAGCAGCTTCAGTCATCCTTTCAGTAAAATCACGAGGTAACCATTAACAAACCAGATAGGCAATCATTCTAAATTTAGCATAGTGATGTCAATGAATGGGTGAAATTTCCAGATTCTCATGCTTACCGACCGCATTGCACTTCACCATATTTGCAGCTCAATCTCCAATTTCTCACTTTCCTTCTGAGTCGTAATCAGGTGAATTTTTTTTACAGTGAGTTTCAAAATAATCCCTCTCACATGCGTGATACAATTACATCATTGTTGCAAGCGAAATATTAAGTTGTTGCATAAGTCTTGTTACACTTTAACTTCTTACGGCGTAAGTCATGCACCTTCTATTCTTCACAGGGATCCAGGGTACCATTCGATAGAGCAAAGCAAGCTCTAAAAAATATTAGGTTGTTGCAAAAATAATGTCCGTTTTGCAAATTTTCACTTTGGAAGGCTATAACTTCGTTCAGTCTCCATATTTTTGAATGCAGTCAAGACCATCAGAAACATCAAACCTTTCTTAACTTAGCGCGCCCTTGCTCATACTGATATCGCAAACGGGAAGAAAACCATGCGTCAGAGAACTAAAAGTTTTTCTCTTGAAAACCTCGTCTTCAAGAGCTTACAACTCCCTTCAAGCTTTGTCCCTATGTCTGCTAGCTAGCCTATTTTGTAGCCGCAGGCCAATAGTATAGGTGTGTGTAGAAAAAACTCCAACGAAGGAGTTCTGCGAAAAGAAAAGATAAAAATTCAAAAATGTTCACTCTTTTGAGCCTATTTGTTGTAGGCTTGTAAGTGCCTAATTATGAAAATTTGGAGCTCTTCGCGCACTGAATAGCTAAGTTTCTCTTCAAATAATGTAGTTAAGGTGTGCCAATTTCAAGCTTACAGAAATGGGCGAAGCTTTGGCGATTGCCTTGATCATGAGAAATTTCTGACCCATAGAATGCCAGCAGCGAGTGTCTATTTTGACGCGTCAATTTCTCAGTCCACATTTCTCCACAAATCTACATAAGCACGCAGTAGGTAAATAATCTTCATTCAATACACTTGCTATGGTTTCAGAAGAATTCGTTTATTTACTCCTGAATTGTGGTCAAGAAGGTGGAAGCTATGAGATTCTGATTTTGAGTGCGGATGTGGAAAATGCTGGTGAAATTCTCACAAATGAAGATAGCAGCTTAATTTTACCGCCATGAGAAAGTACATGAAGAGAGCTTTCCAATGATATGCAGATGCTATATCGAGAAAGCAAGTCTGATGGGAAAAAAGTTGTTTGGAATATAGGTCTAGAAAAACGGACATTATTTTTGCAAAAACCTAATAGTTTGCAAAAGTTCGCATTAACTTCAACCCACTGTAAGTTTGCTTCCAAAATCTGAGTCGTACCGAAGGCTCGAAAAATTGGAAAAAATTCATATCTTCGTTCAACTATATCCTTCGGATCTCCAACTTGCTCATAAAAATTGCACACTATATCAGACACTCATTTGTACCATTGCTGTATTTCTCCCTGTTTTAGAAATTGAAAAAACGAGAATTTTCTTGTCTTCAAAAAACCCGAAGGTATGCTGTTTCTGTTCACTTAGCTGTATACTACAAGCCATTAGACGTATAACCGTAAATTTTCAGTTTTTGAGAAGCCCTAGTTTTCGGAAAAGACCGAGTTTAACTTTTTCTCACTGAACTGTTTAATGCTAAATTAAGGATTTTTCGAAAACTAGGGCCTTTGAAAAGCTGAAAATTTACGGCTATACTTCTAAGAGCTTGTAGTATACAGCTAAGTGAATAGAAACAGCATACCTTCGTTTTTTAAAGGCAAGAAAATTTTCGTTTTATTAGTTTCTAAATGAGGAAGAAATACAGCAAGCAATGGTACAAATGAGTGTCTGATATAGTGTGCAATTTTTATGAGCAAGTTGTAGATCCGTAGGATATAGTTGAACGAAGATATGTATGAATTTTTTCCAATTTTTCGAGCCTTCGGTACGCAGATTTTGGAAGCAAACTTACAGTGGGTCGAAGTTAATGCGAACTTTTGCAAACTCTTTTGTAGAGCTTGCTTTGCTCTATCGAATGGTACCCTGGACCCTGAGAAGAGTAAGAGGTGCATGACTTATCGCCGTAAGAAGTTAAAGTGTAGCAAGGCTTATGCAACAACCTAATAGTTGTTTGGGAGCACAATTAGTTTTGAACATCAGTGATGATTTTATTAGTTTGTTAATTAAATTTTGCAGCTTCTACAACTTTTCTCATTTTGCATGGGTACATCCAAACTATAGTAATGCTTTGAGGTGAGCTACAAATACAGCTATTTGCTCCAAATTCTTGAACGCCTATAAGGCTTACGGTAGTTTACTAAGAAGAACTGACTTAGATCGTTTCAAATTGTCACAGTTTAGGTGAGACTTGGTTTTAAGGGCTTTCTCGACACGCTTTTCACGAAAAATATACTCATTTTGCATGACAATGCAAGTTCAATGAGCTGGTCTCTAACGAAATTAATTTTGCAGTAGTTGTGGGTCGATATATTTTGATTAAGGCCGCGAACATCTTCGTCTTTGGTTGTATCCAGTGAAATTTCGAATCCCCAATTAGTATAAAATTTTTTAATTTTTTCTTTAGTCATCAAAATTAAACACTTTGAACTTATTTGTACCTCATATCACAATCTACATATCATAGCTTACTTGTAGCTCATATTACAATCTATATATCATCGATGTTTCAGTGCAACGTAATCAAAGTATGGAGGAAATTGCACAACTTAGCTAATAGCTCAGTAGTAAATCCTTAATACACTTAAAAATTTGACACCTCTTCTCCTCCTTCACATTCGCGCACTGCTCAGCTTACACAAAACATCTAGCTTGTACCTTAGAATTAGTCTGACAAATCACACATCGCCAAGCTTATCGCCAGGATTTTAATGAAAGGAAATGTGGCAAGCGCATTGTCTTCAAATTCTCCAGGTTATCATCAATTCAACTCTCGGTGCAATTACATACTTTTGAAACTTTACTTATATCTTAACGTTTTAAATGTAGCTTGCGCAGTCACATAAGTGTGATGGTCATCACAGCGAATGTATTTTTATTTATAATTATTGATGTGATAAGTTAGCAATCCATTTTCTTCTTTTGTTGTTTGAGATATTCCCGGTATTGCACTTTTCAGTAAACAAAAGTTTGATCTTAAAAATTGTTCGTTTGGAAGACGCGTGGGTGAAACGCGCACCGCTCATCCGACTGAGCTTAGATTTTGCGGACAGATGCTTTTGATTAAAAACGGTCTTAGACTATTTTTTGAGGCGATTTGCTGGGCCCTTTATCAATTCATCAGTTTTTGGCGGTCAAAAATGGGTGTGAAACTTATTAACCGTTGTCAAGCTTGTTGCACATTTTGGTGTGAACAATGGCAGTAAGTTTATTGTATTTCACGTTGAAAAAAAATGTGGTAACCCGAAAAAAGGACTTTGAAGTAAGCTCATGCAAGAGAAAGGAGGTGGTGGGTTTTTAGTGCAGTACAAAGATAGTAAAAAGGGAGCAGAAGCCAGTGGAGATGTAGTGATACTGGAAGGGGGAGGCTGGAGCAAACGGAAAAGACGGAAAGGAGAAAGAACAAATTATCGCTTGTTCTACCCTTTCGAACAATGACCCGGGCTGGAATGACAGCTAGTAAATAATAACTCAATGCTCTTGATCGTTCAATTAGTTCACTTATTGGCTTCAACTACGCTACCTCATCTTCACATTGAATCTCCTTTTGCTTGGCCATGGTGGAGTGTACACCATTTTAAAGCTTTGCATTATACATTTTGAAATCGTCGCCCGAGTTCTTTATAATTCAGGAGGTCACCCATATGCAGGACAAAGTTCTTACCCTAATTTCACGCGTATAAGGCGCACTTTTTCGAATTTTCAAGCGAGCCGCTCAGCCGCTTCATTGTATTCCGAAAAAAAATCCTCAAATTGCACGACTCTCTCAAACAATATAAAGCACGTTATAGGGTCCTTTGGTCGTAAAGTCCTTTGGTTTGTCTGGGCTGGTCGATTTTGGAAAAAAATTCCCCGCGCCTTATACGCGTGTTAGGATGCTAAGATTGAGTGATGAATTTCACTGATCAGCCCGATCAGAACAACTTTGATAGCGATTATTGTAATGGCTGATTGAACCTCCGATTGATCTTTAAGACTTACTAGGGTGAGTCAAAAGTAATGAGAACATCGCATCTCTTTTTCAACCTATTTTTCAAATTAAGTAGAATGTGTATACGCAAGTGCTCTAAACGGTGTCCGACACGGATTTTTTTTTCCTTCGACAGCTATGATTTTCAACCAAATCACTTCATAATCTATATATATTAGGTTGTCCCGAAAGTTTGTCGGTTTTTTCAAACCACTGTAAAACCAGGCACAATAAAGGCCTGAGCGAGTTTTAACATGCTTTCGATGCAGCTTTTCCTTCTCTTTCTTAGAGATACA